GCAGTCAGCAAAATATGTTCCCAAAAACCTTGTCAGATTTCTGCTTACGTTTATTGGCCATTTTTAACATTCTCAGAGCTATTGCTAATTAAAACTGTGGCAACACATTATAATTGTTAAACTTCTGTAGCCTCTAGAAAAACTTGTCAATAAAAAGTTTTTGTAAATCATTATTGGTTTAGTTAAATAATTGTCCCCAAACCTATGCTATTGTACTATTATACACCAGTTTATATTCATTCCTTCCTAAATAAAATTAATTTATTTAATTACATTATGATTATATTAACATTATTTTAATCAATTTTGTGTGCTTGTTACACAAAAAAATTTCAAGTATCCTCCAAGTATTTAATTTTCCAACAGTTCTATGAAACAGATTTTATTAAGTTTATTTTCAAACAATAAAACTGAAACTAAAATGTTACTTATTTCAACCTCATGCATCGAAAAATTGACCAAACAGAAACATTCTAAAGCTTGTGTCTTCATATCTTATGAATATTCAAATAACTATAAGTAGTCCAATTATCTTTTTTCTGTTAATTATAGGTTAATGGTGATGGCATTTCCTTAACTCTTTGTCCTTTTCCTTCAGACATTTAGATTATTTATATTTTAAGTGGAATTCATTATCTTAGTTTGTTTTGAATTAAAAAAACTTTGCACTCTTTAAAGCAAGTATGGATCAGATCATTTTCTGAGGCAAAATTTAGAGGGACATCTTGGCAAGACTGTCATATGGTACAAGTTGCTCAAGAATTCCGTGTTTGGTTTAGTTGAAAAATGACCGATTATTTTACATATCTTCTAGCAACCCTTCAAGATCCAACACAACAAATTCTCTGAATTAAAAAATTCAGATCTTTGTGTTTTCAAAGATCACATAGTATAGTGACATCAGTTCATTTTATAAAGTAGGAGTTTTATAGATTCTTTGAGATTATAATCCCTATTAAATTTTCAAAAAAAAAAGAACTTCAACAAGAACACAGAAATAATGCTTTGAGGGAAAGGAAAAGTGACAAGTAGCTGGAATGCATCAGCCTCAGAGGAGTAAGCAATCTTCTGACTTTTCACTTGTATCTCTTTGCACAAGAGGGAAAAAATGCAGGGCTGATAGCTGGAGTTATATTTGATTTATAGGTGGATTTGGCTGGTGTAAAAATATTGCAGTAAATTACTCTGAGAAAAATTTAAAAACACTAGGAATGCAGCCTTTTCCTATAGGTACATGATCCCTCATTAGTACGAATGAAATAACGCAGCTGTGAATATTCTTCCTCCCACATAGATAAACAGGCCCTGTAAATGCTTTTAATGACTTGAAAGAATACAAACTTTCGGCAATGTTTTCACTTTAACTAATACTCTTAAGTACAGGTAGATGTTATAGTATTCTAGCACTAACTTTGGTTTGACTTGACCAAGCCTTAGGTCAAGCATGTAACAGTAATCCAGAATGATAGGTGAGATTTGAAAGGAGTGCTGGTTAGCATTTAATGGGAGTACTCTATTAAACATTAAACAATGATAACTTTGATTAAATACAAATTGTACAAGTTTGATGCTCCAATACATTTAATCCATATCAAGAAAGAGAAACTGTATCTTGGATGTAAGCAACTGAACCCTGTACAAATACAACTCTGTCTTCTGCATACTGCCTTTTCTCTTCCATAAGCTCTTCAGTTTCACCGCCCACGTGGCTCTGAGAAGTTTGTTTTACAAAACTAGGTTAATTCTTCCACAATTAAATAGATTAGCCCAATACTGGACCATAGCAAAAGCATGATTTTTTTTTCCGCAAACTCATTGGCTTTATCTATTGGCTATAAGTAAAACTACAGGCAGATAAATGTCTCCGTACAACTGGGCCAAAAGCTTTTAGGTCATAGTGTTACAATTTTGTGCTCTTACCTGTCTGAAGGCACTTGTATGTATTGGAGTCTAAAAAGCTTGTTAGAATCTTTGTTTTTAATTAGACCATCGCTTGTTGAATGATCTAAATAATTTACTCAGAAATTTACATAGGATAGTTGCTCTTGCTCTTGTTCCAAAGATCATCAAACTCACCTAGCAGAATAGGGTTTTCAATTCCATGAGATACAATTTCTTGTAATCAATATATGGTATTAATCAAGGAATTATTTTTGTTCCTTTTAGTATTTATTCTGATTTGATTTGATAAAGCCATCTAATTAGAACCAGGTAACAAGCAATTACTATATCATCAAAAATTTATTGGCAAACTCATTGGCTTTATCTAAAATCATTGTCTTAAAAAATGATGCAGGATGAATACAATTAAGTGATTGAGTAAATTATATAAAAATATTAAACTTTTATATATTCTATATGTAATATAAATTCTAAGTTATATATAAAAATTAATTGTGATAAATTATTTACTTTTATCATAAAATAATAGATCTCTAATGAATAAAATTATGTGTAATATAAATAATAATGAACAAAATTAATCTTTTAGATTTTACCCCATTTTCTCATTTATTATAGCTAAGGAAGTATCAAAACTAAAGGTCGGAAATTAGTTGGGTATTCTTTAGTTGAAAGTTCACATATTCCCTTGAGGCCTATAACTAATAAACGTTAATTGCATATTCCTCTTCTCTTAGTAAAATAAACATTGTTGGTTTTATATGACTATATACATTGAGTAACTTTGTAAAATTAAATTATAAAACACAAAATATAGAAACATATATTTTTAAAATCTCAAGCATTATAGCTGTGTCTATTGCAAGTAGGGGCTAGGAGATAACTCAAGGGTAGGTCCCATATCTACCATGTGGCAAGCCCAGAGTTCTGTCCAAGGGGAATACTGGCCCCCCAAAATCTGGTATGACCTTGAAACTCAAGCATTTATCTGTGTGTGGTCCCAGATCTCTGTACTCCCATGGGTGGTGGCCTTTATTGAAAAATGAGATTTTATAAACAAAAACTATTTAATGCACTTCTCTCATATTATAATCTTGTGCTTTTGCATTATCTTTCTACATCGAACAGTTTTTTTTTTCACTTTTTTTGGGTCACATCGAGCAATGCTCAGGGGCTACTCCTGCTCTGCGCTCAGGAATTACTCCTGGAGGTGCTCAGGGGACCATATGGGATGCCAGGGATTGAACATGAGTTGGCCGCATGCGAGGCAAATGCCCTACCTGCTGCACTATCGCTCCAGCTCCCAGCACAGCGGACAAATTCATGTAGCTTGTGCAATTGTCAAAATAGCAGTAGGAGGTGTTAGGATAAATGAATTGTTAAAGAAATTTCGCAGTTTGAATTCATGATGTGAAGACAGTAAACATTTTCATTCTTCTAGTATACTCTCTTCAATCTTCTTGAAGTGATTATCCCTGCAATGCTACAGGATTATGGTAATAGATTTTATTACCTTCTTGAAATTCATCAATCTTAATTTTAAGGGTAATTTCTCTACTCAGGGATAATATGTACTCTTGTGTTTTAATATGGTAAATTGAGGCTAAATTTTTTAATTATAAATTAAATCTAGCAAAGATAACCACTGGCTTTCAATAAGTTAAAATTAGTAGCAAGCAGAAAAAGAGAAATTTATGAAAAATAGTTGACATTTGGCCAACTCCCTGGTTTGCCAATAAGCTTAAAATGGATCCCAGTAAAAAGAACATGGTCACTTTTTTTAAGATTACAGCAATTGTTTTTATTTTGGTAAAAAATAGGCTATCTAGTATTATTATTAGTAATAGGACATACCCAAGTTGAAAGGTCAGACTTATAAATTTAACCCATTTACCTATGTATCCCTATTTAATCAAATATAGAAATGATATAATCCCCTTCTTATGAAATAATAATTGCAACAATTTATTTATCAGACAATTTATGAAAAAGAACTCATAAAATATAGACACATAAATTTTAATTGAAATTTAATACTATATGTTCTGAAAACAATAAGTTTGGTATGTATAATAAATATTAAAATAAAAGACATTTTTGAAAAATAATTTTTGAGTAAGGACATGTCTCACCTGTAAACAGGAGAACTTTTGGATTCATATCTTAAAGTGCTTAGTGCAAAATATATCATTATAAAGAACAGTTAGAAATCTCAATTATAGCCACTCACAAGTAATCAAGTAAAAGAAGTGTAAAGGATTAATAATATCACACTAAAGCTGAATGTTTACTACTGAGTTATATTTCCAGGTGTCATTTCTGACAACCAAGAGATAACTTATCAATCACAGGATGAAACAAATCATATGCACTGTATAGATGAATTATTCTGCTTCCCTACCCACATTCTCTTTCTATATTCACCTATTCATCCATCTGTGTGTATATATATGTATGTGTATATATATATAGAGAGAGAGAGAGAATTTAAAATGCACATAAATGACTACCAACAAAATCTCAAATCACAATTATTTTTAGGACACTTTCATTGATCTTTAATCACTATAAAGTTTTCCTCCACTATTATAAAATACAATATTTTCTTTGGTAACATTTAGTTGGTTATTTTTGGGTATTCCTTGGCTAGATAGCCAAGGAATGCTGTTCCTCTTCATTTATTTGGAATAATATTTCAGCATTCTCAAACCCCCAAAACAAGTTCCCAAATCATGTCACTGAGAAGTGCTATTTTCATGTGGTAGGAATAACCTGTATGACCTAATTTTAATAATTTGAAATTTGAAAGAAAATATTTTCATACACCTAAATCTAAGATAAAAGTTAAGATAATCAATGACAAAATGTTGATCTATAGTACTAACACAAATTTGAACTGCATATAGTTGTAGCTTCCGAATTACTATCATGTAGAAGCGTATAACTGTATTGTTAATTTAACATTAGGAAGTTGTCTCCTAGAAATAATGCCTAACTTTTCCATAAGCATTTGACTCAAAATTATATGGAAAGAGTAACATACTAAACTTTAAGTACTAAACTTAAAATTATTTAAGAATACAGGCAACAAAATGAACTGTTATCAGACTTTGGTTTATTGTAAAATTTAACAAAGATTTTTTTTTGGTAATCCCTGGCCCCCTTGCCCTGAAAACAAAATATAATTATTGCTTATTCTTTTCTCCCTACTTTATTTGTGCCACTAAAAATGAAGGGAGAACAATCGTTGTAATAAATAGAGATATAAGAGAGAAAGAACCATCAGACCAGATGAGAAATATAGTAGCAACAGAAATACCATTGAGCAATTTCAAAATAAGCTTCTTTTTAAAAGGTCATATAAAAGAAAGAAATCACACCAAAAAATATAGCAGCAGAGAAGAAGGATAAATACAAGTTAATTGCACACCAATCCCATGCAAATAAAATGGGTGACTAGCCAAAGCAGTAGTATTCAGAATTCAATTTGGGATGTTTGTGCAGTGCCTGTGAGTCCTCTATTACGGAGCTGTCACTGAACTGGTCCAAGTCTGATGGAGTCTGATGGCCTGGAACATCATCTGCCAAAGTGTCCAGATAGCTTCCCACAGAGATCCCATCCAGCCCATCACTGCCGTCATGTAGGCTGTTGTAGCTGCCGTGTAAAGAGGTGCTCTGACTCTCCAATAAACTGCACAGGCTGCCACTGAGACTGCTGCCTCGGCTGGTGATGGTGGCTTTTTCTTCAATCATCCACTTGATGGACTCAATGCTCTCATTGATAACTAGCAACTGACGCATGAGCCTAGCATCTGTGGCTCTGAGATTAACCTGTGGAGAAAGGAAAATAAGAAAAATAAACTAGATTTCTTTTCTTTGACCAAAAGAGCCAACATTCATTCAGCTTCTTACTTTTTTCAGGATTTCCTTTATTAATTAATTAATTAATTTATTTTGACGGGAGGGCCCACAACAGGCAGGGCTCCTTAGGACTTACTCCTGGATCTGTACTCAGGGGTAACTCTTGGGGTGTCTGAGGATTGTATTTAGTGCTGGAGATTGAACTAGGGTCCCATTCCCTTTATTAGCTCTCCAACCTATTCTGTCAATTTAATAAGAAGGACCTCCTCCCGCACCCTTTCCCCATCCCAGTGTTGCTCAACTTGGTGGCATGTGCATGAGGTTTTGGTCTCTCAGGTTTCCACCAGGTGGTGTTGGGTCAGAAGGTGGTAGATCAAATTCAGGGTCACACATATACTAGACATGTCCACCTGAGCTATCTCCTTGGCCATCCAAAATTATAAATTCATATAACAAAATAGGAACTGATTTGATCTGAATATATTTTTGAAAACTGATGATAATGGGAGGAGTTGTAATTCAAGAACCCAATTCCTCCCAACTGTATTGGACTCAATAAAAGACAATTTCCACTGTATCCCTGATCCTCACCAAGCTGTCTAAAAGCATAATATTGTATGTTAAGTGCAATAGTAAGACTGCTACTTGCTCTGGACAGATTAATAGTTTATCTATCTATGTTTATTGGGAATATGTATATGACTTGTGAGCACTAGGGAGAATAAGGTAGAAATCAAGACCTCAACATCACTATGATCGCCATAAGCCCAATTTATTGTGAATATGCCAGGACATCTTTACAAAATCTCAATATTCATTAAAGCAAGAATGAACCATAGTTGTTATTTTAATCTCAATTTAACAGATAAATTGAAATCTAGAGAAAAGAGACAGAATTATAGAAAAGACATCCATCCTTTTTCATTACTTAAAAATACATAGTATACAATAATGTTTTTACTTTTAAGAAGAACTAAATTGTTTTAATATTCTGTGAAAATAAAATAATGACAACACTGCTAGGCTGACAACTCTAAAAGATAAAACATATTTTCTGTAGATCCAATTTTTTTCTTCAGTTAGATCTGGAACATACCAAATCAAATTTGAGATAGGAGATTCTAGAAGATTCTAGAATTTTCCTTATGACTTTTACAAATGTCCTGATCTAAGGTGTTGTATCTTTAAGGTTAAAAGCTGATTTTAATTAGTGGGTTTCTAGAGTTCTCGGAGAGATTTACTCCTGCATGACTCAATCCATAATAGAGAAAGGAACCTATTGTCTTTAAGTGCATGCAATCCTATAATTAAAATATTTCCTGGTTAGGAATTAATCCATAACCAAAAGTGAACTTTGGATTGTGTGAATGTAATAAATAAACATTAGGAAAGATGAAATTTATACCAATGGCTCCATATGTTTAAGAGTATATCTTTATTATATAAAGATAATATGTAATACTTACTTTGATTAGCATATTAACAAAAGTTACTCATATATCTTGGCTTCTTTATCTTCTTTGAGAAAAACCAACAAAAATAAATGACAAAGATAGCTATATTTATGAATAGCAGGATGTGAACTTAGCAAATCTTTGGATGTTTTCTTATGTGTTCTGTTGTCTCAATGACCCCAAAATGAAGTGTGTTGAGGGAGAGGTTTTCTGTCAGTCTTTATGTTGAAATTCATCCCCACATCCCATGAGCCATCACGAGACTGTTCAAGTTACTAGTGATAGGACAAATATTTACAAAAGAATAAAAATTTGTGGAGCTTAAAAAATCAATATGAGCCAAAGGTTTCTCAAAATTCTTTAGTTAGGTATGTGTAGCTGATAAAATTCTGCTGTACCCATCAGAGGGCTGACGTAATATAAATGTGACCATTTCCCAATTATTCCCCAAATAAACTACAGCTGCATTTTGTTCACGTCCTCGCCTTGTTCCTTGAAAGGGTTCTTGTCCATGACTAGTGCTGGGTGTGTTCCATTAATCCCCTCACTTGAAATAACTTTACACTTCCTCTCCAAATACTGCCCATTCTTGAAGTCCTTTTTCTTCCATCAAGTTCTGCCTTAATAATTCCAGCCTCCTCTGCCGACCCACTTAACCTCTACAGTCCTTTTGAATTTGTCCATCCCAATATAGTTCAATTTTGTAGGTATTATACTGCTACCTACTGTTGTGTCTTTTAGTTGGTCCTCTATCAAGTTTTATGTGCCTTCAAGAAAGAAACCGTAGCTTATATTTATTTCATATCTTTAAATCTCTCCTAACAATTGACTCTTTTTTTAAAAAGAAATAGTAATAATTTAGCATGTGTGGAAGTTCAGCTCTTAAAAATGGTAAGCCCATGATCCCAACATTTTTGGACATTGCTCCAGAGTCAGCAATTTTTCTCTGCGTTACACAATGGTTGCATTAAATATTTTAGTTTTAGTTTTATTGGGTAAAATAGATAAGAAGGTTGTAGTTTATGAAGTAACAAAACTTCCTTTAACTATGCAATGATTTGTTTAAATAATTTTTTTTTAAAAAATCATTTTCTCCTGAAAGCAAACATTTATAGGTCATTGAACTATTGCTGTGGAAAAAAAATGATGAAAGCATGTCAGTTAGGAAGTGTTGATCTGAGCTAATAGTTACAGAATTAACTATGTCTAACTGTGTGTCCTCCTGGTGAGAGAGTAAACAGTTTCCCACTGTGGGAGCTCTGAGACAGACAGTTCACACAGCTGCCCTCCATGACTTGGAGTTCATAGAGCTCTGAGCTGTTGTACACTGTTTTTTTTTCCTAGAACTGAGGTATGGTTACCCAGCTACTGATGACCTTGAAGTATGAGCAATCACCACAAAGCTGAATCACAATATTGTTCTTTTTTCAGAAGCTGCTCTGACTTTCCTTACGGTTATTCGGGCCGGTTCTTCTAAAACTGGGCCATCGATGGAGCACAGCCTTGCCCCATCCAAGAAACCCTGACCTTCTTTCAGATGAGATTCTGTCCGGCCCAGCTGCCCTCGTACTCAGGGGACACTGAGAATTTAAGAAATATTTCTCATTTCCTAAGTTTAAGGTGTATTTCTTTAGAGAACCCTTTCTGACCCATTGTATCTAATCTCCATATCTAGTTTTATGCGACATTCAAGTGGGGATTCCATTCCCTTCATAATGTGGATACCTAGCTTAAATCAGTCACGTATTGTTTATTTATAATATTATGCTTATTCTATGAGCGTGTCAGCACCAGAATTTAGAGGACTAAGTCTATCCATTCACTGCTCTCTACCGAAGACTTGAAAGAGTGTGGGCAATCACTCAACTAGTATTTGTTCAAGTACTGCATCACTGCTTCGGAGTGGACCTTTATCAGAAATGATTTTCCTTTGGCTTTTGCTGTACATCAGTGATATGTGACTTGAGCGGAAAGAAATAGGTAGCTCCAGAAAATAACATTTCAGTATTAAAGCATTCCAAGTATGCAGTCCAACTTATTTTTTTCTTAAGGGTGATTTTTGAGTTGATGGGAACCAAACCCAGGGTTTCACACATGCAAGTTAAATGCTCGACCAATGAGTCATATCCCCTATCCATAATGTTATTTTTATTTATTCCCAGAATTCAGATGCTGACTAACTGGCGCAAGATTAGTCCTAGTTTAAATGTAGATTACAAAATAGTAGGTCTGAAGGACATGGATTCAGAGGTGTGAATCACACTCTAAACATTCTGTTTGTTCTGAGGTGATAACTGGTGATGGTGATATGAGCACAGCGCAGGTGTTCTGTAAATACTTGTTGAAATTAGTTAACGAAGAGATAAACAAATAGGACATTGCCTCCCTCAAAATATTTGCATTTATTTATCCAGGAAAGCAATACCCTTTTCCTTTTACTCTCTATTCCTCCTACTCTTAGAATAATTCTTAGAATTATTGCAACGGGGTTTATTTTCATTCTTAGTCTCTCTTGGTTCAAAATTGTAGCATAACAGGTTTTTTTTACACTAGGGTGAATGAATGCTGAAGTTTCATGTCAGTTTTGGACAAATGATAAACTAATGAGTGATTTTAAGAGACTAGTATCCTTAATAACAAACTTTTCCAGATCTGTTTTTTCTGCTACACTGTCATTCAAATAGTGACAGTATATAAAAGTGACAGTATATGAATTGAAAAAGTAGAACCCAATCAAAAGACAAGTCAAAATTTTCAATTTTGAGTTTCTAAATGAGAGTATCTTTGGTGGTGTGAGGTTATCTCAGAAATATATGACAGAATTGGGGACTATCTATGCCACTATTTAAGTGACTGTCAGACTAAGTGGCTTGACGTAATAGTTATTAAGCTTTCATGCACATGAAGAAAAATTATGGGTTTTATTTTGAGCTCTAGAAAGTCACAGGATATGGCAAAACAGTACATAAACAATAATTTCTGCCAAACAGTGAAAATTTAGTTCAATGAAGAGGAGTCACTTTGTCACTTTTATCTGCTCCTCATCAAACAGATTTTATTTAAAAAGATTCCTTAGACCAGATCATCTCAGGATTTCCTTTTCTCCCTTCTAAAACTGATTCTGATTCTTTGTTATTCTCGTAGTCATTTGGTTACTAAATTATTCTACTCTGAGAAATGTGTCCAGGTTATAGAGTAGATAAAGAACCGCCCATTTTCCTGCTCAAAATAGCTTTAGTATTAAAATAAAAGTAAGTAAAGTAAAGGCCCTCCCGTTGATCATCGATTTGCTCGAGCGGGCCCAGTAACGTCTCCATTGGAGACTTTGTTGTTACTGTGTCTGGCATATCGAATACTCTCGGTAGCTTGCCGGGCTCTCCGAGAGGGGCGGAGGAATCGAACTCGGGTTGGCCATGTTGGCTGCATACAAGGCAGACGCCATACTAGCTAATAATTTTTAACTAACAAAAACTCAGGGTTAAAGTCAAAATGTGGAATTTGATGACCTTATCAGAA